AAATCAGAAATGAACTATTTCCATCTTAACAAAAGAAAAAAAAGATAAGGCAGCAAAAGCCAAGGCTCCTTGTGTATCATAACTGATTTCACTCCATACCCCCAACGGCTAAAGGCTCTGAAAAATTAGTCTTGCATGGAAAAACAGCTGTGTTTGATGTATTCCCCAGATGTTGGCAAAGAACACAGCGAAAAACATGCAAGAGCATGTTGAGCTTCTAATTCAGCATGATGTGAACATCCAAAACCCATGACATTGTTCTGTGCCTGGTGACTAAGACTAAGTAAGGTTAAAACCTAATTGTGTGACTCTAATCCTGACCTCAGTAGTTAGTACATGGAAACATGTAGTTAGTACATAGTTAGTAGGAAATGCAGGGGCTCCCCAAAACTCCTGAAGCCTGAAGTATAGAGGACAAGCATCTTAATTTTAATAGTTCTCCCTCTCTCACATACACACACACAAGCACTTGAACAGATGTCTGAGTGGGGCAGGCTAAACAGTGTCAACCTGCATTCTCTTGCTTGGATAACTTGCTCCGACGAGCATAGCCAGTCTCAGTCAGAGTTAACTAGTCAACCCCCTGGTTCATCACAAAGCAAAAACTGCCTCTTTGAAGCGAGCTGCGAGAGTGCAACTTGGAAATCAAGCAGAAGAGTAAAGACCGGCAAGCACCCAGAAGACAAGCTGCCATCAAGACTAGCAGACTTCCAGCGGGACCTAAAGCATCGCAATTTGGCACCAGAACTCCCTGCAACAATGTGCCATTGAGTAAAAAATTCAGAGATGCAACATATAAATATTTAGCTGTATAACAACACTCTTGGAAGCTGTGTGTAGCAGAGTATTGGAAGAGCTCTTCCTTACGTCTTTATAGCAGTCTCTTAACTCCTGTGTTTTATTACAAGACTTTTGGGGGGTGGGCTTGGAAGCAGTTTGACCCACATGTTAATACTGGAAGTAGTAACAAGACTTTATTATTATCTCTCTACTGTCCTTTTCAATTAGGAACCTGTCCACCACACTTCAGGGGGCATGATGGGACACTTCCAGATGAGACTAGATATAGAAGAACTTTCCTAAAATCACCACCCACCCTGGGTTTTGGGGGGTTTTTTGTTATTATTGGGAAAATATCCAGTGAAGCTTTGGAGAACCTGTCTAAACCCGAGTAGGTGCCAGTGGTGGAAGTGGGGCAGGGTGAGCTGGGCACCAGCCCCAGGCACAAATGTAAAGGGGGCACCAGCAAAAGCCCATAGCCCTCTACACCCGCCCACTGCCACTCAGCATCATCTCTGCCCAGGACGCAAGGAGTGCTAGTTATACCTCTGGTGAGGGATGTCCACTTTTTGATGCCTCTTGAAAGCATTTTTTTCACAGTGTTTCAGACTTGTAAAGAGCATTGCCCCTTAACAGCTAGGATTATAGCACCCAGTATCAAGCAAGCACATCTTCTTTTCTGGGTCTCTTGCCTTCCTCTCCCATATGAAGTAGCAATTACTCTCTCTCTCTGTTTGAAATCATATCACTGAGATTTTTTTTTCTCATGTATAGCAATTAGTGTGGGTCCCTTTCCTCATTTTCTTTTTTTTATGCATCTAGGGATAAATACTTCTGTAGTTATTGCTCCAGTTACTACTGGTGTGGGCATTCACTCTGTGCATGTTTTCTGGCCTGGCAGAGAGAATTTTGATCATTTTTCTCTCACCGTTAGTAACATTCGTAAGCTATCTGAGAATGATATGCTAATACATCATTAGGCTACCTCATAAACACATGTATAAGGAAGCTTTCAATTTGGTATGTAAAGACAGCTGATGTACTGGCTGATAAATATTTGCAATAATCTGCAAGTGGAAAGATGAATGATACCATGGATAACTTAAGTAATTTGTTCTAACTCATCAGTGCCTTTCTTCAGACCTGGAGGCATACAAGGACCAGATGCCTGTTTCCTGCATTGCAAGAAAACATGGCAACTGAAAGCCCAGTCCTTCGTGCAATCCAAGTCCTTCCTTGCCTGTCCAAGGAATAAATATTCCTTGGACAGGCAATTCCACATTCAGGACTTGGCGCCGCTGTCTGATCCGGGTGATAGAAGACCAGATTAGTGTGGCCAGACGTGTGGCTTCACATGCTCTGGAATGGAAAAGGACCTGGGATCCCTTCAGCTACCATTAGGAATTACATTCTAGACCAGGAGGAGTTTTAGGAACAATAATACAGGAAGCTCTTGGTTAATTCCTATGTAGATTATTCACAGGATTGCAATGGACAGTATAAACCAGCATTGTTGTTTTGCAGCTTTTTTTATTAGCAGCTCTGTACAGAAATCAGTTTATCTTTTGGAGAAGTGGCATTGTTTTGTCTTGGATTATTTAAATTCGTTACTGTGATTAGAAGGATAATTTTTTTTATGGCCTAGCCAGCCTCTTCCACTTGGATGTATTAATATGCTCCCTTAAATGTCGTGTGCACATGGGTGCAGAATGTACATATGCAAACACACACACAGTCCTATTTGTTAGCCGGCTGCAAAGGAAGTTTAGTCAGAAAGGCGAGGAATCATTAACAAGGGCAGGGAATTAGGTAGGAGGCTGTCAGAAGAATGCAGAGTTACTGAAGGCTGACCCTGCTGGCAGTAGTTCATTTTTCATGTGCCTCCTTGGAAAACCAGTGACAAAATGCTGCATTGCAATGGCACTGGAAAAAGGCAATTTCCCCCTTGGAAGTAAAATCAGACTCTCCCTTTTCCAAGTGATCGAGAAGTGGAGCAGTAGGGCTGGAAGACTGGGTGGGTTTGGAGGGAGCATACATAGGGATGATAGAGCCATGCGGCTGGCATAGCTCTGTAGAGGCGGCCGTGATGAGCAAACTTCTGAAGATCTGGGTCAGACCATCCTGACCTCTCCAAAAGGGAGGGGAATTCATGCAAATCAAAATGTATTGAAAACTGTTGTGTTCACGCGTGTCCCAGCCACCTCCAGTCCAGCCAGACCCTTCTCTAACTCACTCAGCATCTGCCTGCCTTCCACTAACATATCCATGTTTTCCGGCTCTGACCATAACCCTAATTTCCTAACACCATCCTCTTCCACTCCTGGCAGACATTGCCCGGGCTGGGTGGCAGTCAAGTCTGGCATTTTCATTAATATGCTAATCAAACCTTTCTCGTTTTACTGGGTTTTTTTCTGGGTCAGAGATGCACTGGATTATCTTTTTCCCCACAAGCCTATCATCTCTGGCCTTGGAGCCCTCTGTCAAGACGGAAAAATGCAGCTAGTCTAGTATAGGAGGCAAAATGTTGTCTGATCATCAGTAGCACATCAAGAAGGAGGCCCGTTAGAGCTCAATGAGAAGGAAAGGACAGTTATTCAAATATTTCTTATGTCTAATAATGTTTTAAATAGCTTGAGTTTGGAGGTTAGGTTTTGGTTTGTTTATTTTTCTCGGCAGTAACAGGTACACAGCTGCATTTCTGTGGTACAGCATTAAACCAACTAGTTTGGACATTTGGTTATAAAACACCTGTGTAAGCATAAACCGGACTCCATATTTTGTATCCAAAATGATCTGATATGGCCATAGCTTATGAGTATCTCCTAAAACCTTCTGAGTTAAATAAACCTCACATTTTAAACATATGTTATGCATGGACATGGACTTAAACATTTGACACTGTCATGCTGGGAGGCAGCAATGAGTTAAATATCTGTACTTCCTATGAAGAGTTTTGATGCTTAAGCATTATGAGCGCAACCAAGAAATTAATTCTTGCCAGGGGGGAAAAAAAAACGGAGGATAGAACAACTCATGCACCAACTACTTTTAATTTGCAAGGTCAGCTAAATCTTATCAAAATCCCCAGACAAAAAATGTCATTAAGATACAGTTAAGGTTATACACAGATACCAACTCCCAGGCAAAAACCTTCATTAAGATACACTCAAGGTTGTAAATACACCCACATCAATTAACGCCAGACAACATTAGAGCACTGTCGTTATTCAAGATGATAAACATTTGGAAATTGAAAGTTAAGGTTAAAGTCAATAAAACAAATACATGAATGTTAGGAAATACTTTTAATTCTGGCCCCATAACACTGCTCACTGTCCGTGGCTCTTTGCTTGATGTTCCGAGTCATAACAGGGTCTTCTAGTCCCACTGCGGTTTGATCGGGGAATGAATGAGTAGTGTTTATACAGCATCTGAAGATGGTACAGGAAGGGATAAAACATGAAGTATTTCTGAAGAGGTGCCTGCATTTGGCACAGGGGGTGATTTGGGCCATGTGATGGGAAAGGAAGTCTCATAGATCTATGTCTTTAGTAACTGGTTGCAATTCCAGAACAAACCATATCAACCATCCTTCAACTTCAGCCCTGAGACAGGTACATCCCTCTGGTTCCATCTCTTTTCAATAGGACTCATTTAGTCGCTATTGGAAAATACTGATAATGATACATGGAGGTTGGGTATGAGGAATTATATGTAGATGTAATAAGCAGACCATAGGCATTGAGGTGGAATCCAATTATTCTATCCATTACTGTTGTATTTTGTACCTAATGAACTGCCGTTTTATAGAAATGCTGATAAATGCTAAACACGCTGCAAACAAATGATACACCGATGGGCCCTGGACAGCTACACGTAAAAAATAAAGCAGCAGCTGGAGTGGTAGGATTCTTCTATGATGGGAAATTGCATTTCATGTCACACTATTAGCTGCAGTCTTGGGACATAATAGAAAACAGGTGCCATACAGACTATGAGCCTATGCAAAGCAATATTATGCCACCAAAAAAGTCTCCTATTAGGAGATGCAGTACAAATAATGGCTTCATAAGACCTTTACCATTAAATTAAATTTGGAGGACTTGTAATGGAAACTCATCCTCTTCCGTGGGATTTTGGCATATCATAGTTTGACTGAACAAGACGTCTCACTGTGATGCACCCGGATGAAGTTATCAATCTTGTCCATTCCTTTTTAGCTTCGATAGTGATCGGGAAATGGTGGTGTGAGATGGAGCCGTGCCTAGAGGGGGAAGAATGTAAGACGCTGCCTGATAATTCTGGATGGATGTGTGCAACCGGCAATAAGATCAAGACCACCAGAGTAAGTCATGTTTCCAGTCATACACCTTTAACAGGGAAGGGACTCGCTTGCTCCTGCAACAAACACCTGTAGCATTTTCAAGCCACTACGGCAACTGTAAAGCACGTTGCTTTCCAGGAGTCATCACTTGTGTTCACTGCTTAATTCATCCCAAGGCTCAGGATGCTCAGCTGACCTCTGGTGTTCAGACTGGCATCCTGGCCTTACTGAATCACCGCGTCCCTTTCTTAATATCATTGTCTCCAAGAAGTAGCTTGGAGTCCCATCCGCAGACAAGAACAAAGGGGTGAACAGACCTCCTGGGTCATCCGCTCCAGTCCTCAGCCACTGCAGACAAGCACATCACATCATCCCATGACTCCCCTTGCCCCCGTGTCCCATTTGCCCTCTTCCTCTAAGAGGCTCCAGTAGCTGCGCTGTCCTGTGGTCCCCACGACTTCTCTCCTCCCTGTCTCCAGCCTACAGAGAGAAGTCTGCTCTGCCCCACGGTCTTGCCACGAGGATGATGATTTCAGCCCATTGGCCTCCCTTCAAAAGCCTTATGGTTTTTGAACTAAAAGCCTTATGGCTTTTGAACTATATTGCTCCTCTCTATAGGTTCTTACCCCTGAGATGAACATGCAAGCAGTTTCTCCAAGCGATATCCTCCAGGACAGTTCTTGTTGGCCTCCAGGGAGGTCACCAAGTTTAAATAAATCATTCAAATATATACATAAGCAATTTTCCCTGCAAGAAATGTCAATGAGTGCCCTAAAAAGGTCTGCCGCAAGTCAGCCTCCCACACCCAGGGCAACCAAGGAAGCAGAGGGGGACACTGTGACTCTCTGCATCACAATTTCTTCCTCCAGCTATTTGCAGGGTGATGTAGGTAAGAGCTACCCCATGCTTGCAACTTGCCTGTTTGTAACGGAAATAGCACTTGGATATAGCAAATTACTGTAGGGGAGAATGAAAACACCATTTGCATACTATTTTTCAGAGCACTAACTTTTTTCCCCAGTGAATCAGAAATTTCAGAAAGGGGAAAGTGATATTAAAGGGATATTAAAAATTCACAAGCAATATGCAGACGAATTTTAACACTTTGTCATTTACATATTTTTAAAAAATCTAGCACAAAAACAACACTAATAACATAACACCTCTGGAATCCTGCAGTCTGTCTTGCAGATCATAATTTAGGAAATTAATTAGGTTTTATATGAATTCGTTATGTCTTCAACTCTATCATCCAGTATCATATGAACCAGTGGTGAGTAATAATATTGCCAGAAACGTAGCTGTTCCATTCGTATTCAGATGTATGATCTAATCTACTCAGTATGCATTACTGTAGTTCATTTAAATTAAATACCTACAGAGGTGAGTGTTCAGAAATGAAAAAAAATACTTCTGTCATTTGCCCATAGGCATTATTTTAATTAGTTAGTGTGGGATATCTTTTAATGCTGCTTCCAGTAGCATTTTGCTTTGTTTCCTTACAATATTGTTACTCAACACAATTTGGTAAAGCCGCAGTGGTATGGTATGCTTAGCAACTCTCTTAAATCTTCTAAACATAAATCCTGCATATCTTTTGGGATTATTGAAACTTTGCATAAATTCCCTCCACTGAGCCTTATTCAGCAAAAAAAAAAAAAAAAGCTATCAGAATAGAATTTTTTATCGTATAAAGCTCAGTGTCATTTAGTGTCATATATAAGCAAAAGATACGCTATAGTAATATATTGTCCAAAAGCAGCTGAGTGAGGGTTGCAATGCTGTTATATCCTATGTGTATTTGTTTGCATATATTCCAAAGTGTGCACACCAAAAGAATCGTCACAAGCTGGACAGGTGTATCCATGATGGTTAGCAAAAAGCTTAGCATAGGTCATCGTGGGTCCTAAACAGTTTTGCTGCAGGTCTGCTCTGTATGCAAAAGAGCACGTTGGGAGGGAGTGCAAGACAGCTGGTGGTCTGACCATGAAAACATCCACCATTGTTTTAGGTAGGATTGAAGTACATAAGTAAAGGTTTTTCTTTGGAGAAAAAAAAACTTTTTTTTTTTTGTTTCTACTAGGAAAGAAGGAATTTCTCCCCTAGTACATTATTCCACAGACGTTTATTCCTCCTCTGAAGTGGCTACTACTGGGTGCGTCTACACAAAATGCTTTACTGCGCATCAGACTAATCTAATGTGCAGTAAAGCGTCACTGTCTACACATGCGCAGGATTTACTGCACAGTAAATTAGACTAATGCCCAATTTGGTAATACCAGGAAATACAGGTACTAGATTAACAGCACATTAGGTACTGCACAGTAGTGCATGTGTAGACACTGGAGCAGGAGGTCCCTTGCTGCTTGGCCAAGCCTTGATGCAGGGGAGGAGCTGTATCAGCTGCAGGACCCGTCCCGATCCCCATATGGCCAGGAGAGCTGTCCCAGCGACTGGTATTGCTGCATCCCAGCCATGTGGAGATTGGGTCAGGACACTACCTGCCAGCCATGTGGGGATCAGGAGGGTCCCAATTCCCCAAAGTCCAGATCAGGAGGGTCCCAATTCTGCAAAGAAAATTCAGGCACATTAACACAGCCACTGAGCACTATCTACGCCAAGATACTGGACTAGCTGGACCACTGTTCTGACCACTGTGGTAAAGCTTATGCTCCTTCTTTTTGCATGCATAGTTGACTTTAATTACTAAACCATGGTAAAAGTAAAAGGGCTAAAGTCTTCAAGCCCAAGACTTAAAGGACTGTTGACAGTTGACTTATTGATAGTCTGTTGATAGAGCGGTTGACTGAACATTGGAGAGAAATCATTTCTAATTGAGCTTTTGGTCTTGCTTTACCCTTGTTTTTCTCTCTCTCCACTCGCTCTAACATCAGCTTGAGTTTGGGAGATTATTTGGAAAGTTTTTAAGCTCTCCTCTTCCTTCCCCCAAGGATCGGGCACCTTGCTGTGAGGTCACACAGTGAAATGGTGGGATTCTAGTTAGGCAGATGGCAGGGGGTGCGAGGTGAAAATTGCCCTCCTTCCTCAGGGCCAGTGAGCAGGGCTGCTGTTTTCTGGGCTGGAACACTAGCTAGAGACCCCCAGGACCCCTTACACTGCAGCTTTCCATATCACCTTATGACCTAAGATCAGGGGTGGGCAAAATATGGCCCATGGGCCACATGCAGCCCGCCAAGCCATTCTATCCAGCCCGCAGGGCCCCTAAAAAGTTTAGAAAATTAATATTTATCTGCCGCTGGCTGCCTGTCATGTGGCCCTCAATGGCTTACCAAAACTCCATAAGCGGCCCTCCACCCAAAATAATTGCCTGCCCTTGCCTCAGATGCATCCAGAGTTGGTGGCTCGCACCCTACTGCCATCAGCCACGCTGTGCTGCAGTGTCCCCATGATAAGTAATTCAGAGGGGACCTTTGGTTTGCCATGTGTACCAGGGGTGACCCCCACTCCATGTGCATGCGATGCAACAAATTGCATGATGTTCACTATAATCTATGCTAATAATGCTGCTCTGCATTGGTATGATGCTCCTCACGGTGCTTTGCAAACGCACACCAAGTTCTTATCCTCCTTTTACAAATGGGAGAAACTAAAGTGCATTGCCCTTAAGTGTCTTGCCTATGGTTACCCTGCCATTCAGTGGGTGAACTGGGAATAAAACCCAGGTCTCCTGAGTCCATCTCCCCCACTCTATAACCAATAAAATGACACTTCACATCACTATCTTGAATCCAAGGCACCTTATTTTTCATATCATCTCCTGACTGCTAGGAGGGAAAGATCTGCTAACATTTCCCACTGGTTTGCCAAGTGATGCAACAGCACTTCAGCTGTGACGGTTTTTTGCATCTTGAATCCCACAGCATGTTCAGCTCTTTCACTGACGGGGCTGATAGTCGCAGCAGGAGAAAGAGAAAAGCATTCCCTTACCTCGTGTGAGAGACAGCCCAGCAGAGTTCATTTGTCAATGCTAAACCAAGAGAGCAGAAAATGGGACTAGTGTGCACGTGTGTGGAAGGGAACGGTAAAAAAAAACTTAGATTTTTTTTTAACTGTTTGAACAGGTTAATATGGTGGATCATGTCTCCGATGACATTTCTATTTAGAGCACCGATGCCCTTTGCTTTTCTTGTAGCCGTTGTTCTAATTAAGAGGTCACTTCGAAGTAGTGCAAAGAGCACAAGACAGTAAACATCTCCAGTGAAGAGAGTTGCTGCTGCATCTCATCATTCAGTCTGCTGTTTTGCTAATATTTTTTTCCTCCTGATTTAGCAGCTGAGTCTATTCATGTCAAGGAAAGTTTTGCTACTGACTTCACTGACGGAGGAAGTTTGGCCCCTTGGTTTATTCATATGGGCAAACAAAAGGGGGGGGGTTTCCCGACCCCCATCAAAGATGACTAAATATTTCAGCTTCTGGCAAGGCATTCTGAATTCAGAGTCATAAAAGCCCTGAAAAGTAGCAGCTGTTCCCCTGCAGTATATGCCCACATTGTGGTGACCGGGCATCCTAGCAGGGACCTCTCTGACCACCCACTCCGGCTGCACCCTCAAACCCCGGGGATATGGCAGACAAACCCTGGGGGACCTCTCGCTCCATGGTTGCTTTCAAGCCCTCAGTCTCCAGCATCCTGGCATCTTTAGTTTGCTCAGCTAAATCAACTGTATAGTGTTTCTTATAAATAATAATCTCTCCACGGCCTATTATGCCCTTAGGGATGGATAAACCATCTTCTCTCCAGAGTGGTGCGAATGAAATACCTGCTCACAGTTCCTAGTAGTTTGCTGTCTCTTGTAATTTAGGCAGCCCATTACATGGCTTTCTCTGTAAATCCATGCCACTCAACAAGGCAGGCATTCACGGGCTGTGGGAGAAGCTCTTTACTCCCGTGTGCGTTCATAAGCTGAACGTATTGACTCCTCCATCTTCTCAGACCATGATGGGCCAAGAAACAAGGCACCGAACGCAGAATGTGGACACATGTAACAGTTACGCTGGCATTAGATTATGCCATTATAAGAAGTCCTACTATAACTGTTACATCTGTCTGCTCCTATCGCAGCATAAGCAGCGTGAAACCATTGCAACTTGAACCCTGTTTTATTCACAGTTAGAGTGATTTATGCCATTTATCCAGGCATAGGAGCAGACAGCAGTAACAGTTACGTTGGAATAGCTGATAGGTGCTCCTGAGTGGCAAGCGCTCCTTGGTTTAAAGCAGTTTAAAGATATATCTGTCCACAGCCTCAAAGAGCTTCTTGGCAGAGCCGCGTGCTACCAGCGGGCTCGAATTGCAGCCCGTTTTTCATCTCATAACATATTGTATGTCATTGCTTGCAGATTCACCCAAGAACCTAACAGAGTCTTCTGGATGGCTGCAATGAAAGCACCGCTGATTTAGAGGACAAAACGTTAAAAGTTTAAACCATCTCAACATTTACAAGCCAAATGGATTTCTTATTTGCACTTTTGACTGTTTACCACATAATAACAGTGGCTTTACTGTCTGAAATAAAATCTTCTGTGGAAGTAATGTCCCAGATTTTTGACAACAGAAACGGAAAAACAAAACAAAAAACCCGAAGAAAATGGTTCTTTTGGTAAAGTTTGCGTGACTACGGAGTATGGACGCGATCGGATCTACCGTTTATACTATTTAAAAGTATCTATAAATATATAAATATATGATATTTTGAAATAAAGCCTCAATCTTCAAGAAACTGAATAGTACCACACTTTGCTGCAGCTGCTGTAGTACATTTTTTTTGTAACGGCCTGGAAGACGCCTACCAGTTTCAGAGAGAAATATGGCAGTAAAAAAGGGAAAGCAAACCTGCTGCAGTCTGAGGACGCCTAGAGCTAAGAGTCCTACTGAGGCATCATCGGGAGCTTCCTTTCTTTTTTTCCAACAGGATATCGGAGGAATTGCATTCTTACATTTTCTTGTATTCTGGAGGCTTTTTTCCCCTTGTGCAATACTAGCATGCTGGCTTTGCTTACATAACCATACTTTATACTTAATTGATATATAACAGTGATGATTCTATCCTCTTCCAAGAAAATATTTTTAGAGCTATTAGATATTCCATGAAGAAGAGAAGGACACCTGTCGAGTAAAGTACAGTATGTATTCAGAGTTTCTTTGGCAGAGCTTGGGGGCTCCCTTCTTATTGAGGATGTTCTGTACATGCAATGCCTTCAGACTTTGTATAGCTGGTATAGACTATAGTAAAAACCCGATTACTAACTCCAGAGTTTTGCATTGTTTGCTCGCTAATTCTTCAGAACAAGAGCTTCTTTTGGTTTTTAACAGTTGCTTAAAGAGTCAGGTTTTGGCACACGGTTTGATTCTTCCTAAAGGAGCAAGTTGCTATAGCCCGTAGTCCTTTCTACATACAAATTTGCAGTCATTTCATTAAATGCATTGAAACCTGGTTGGGCACTTTTATTTCAGTTTGGTTTAACCCTGCCACTAATCAGCTTAAGCTTAACTGAAGTAAGGCAATCTTAAACTGAAATCACAAGTTTGGAACCAGTTAACTAAATTGTTTTAAATAGCCACTTTTTCGTTAAATCGCTGCAGCTCTCGGTGTGGGCAGGCCCTCGCGAACGATGAGGATAGGAATAAAAAGCTAAGGGGAAAAGTGTGAAAGCCCACACTGTGTTTGTGAATGTGAGGCTCCCCGTTGATTTTAGCAGGCGTATTTGGGCGGAAAAGTGCTTGCCAACCTGCATCAAGGCTGCGCAGTCTAGCCTTCGGTCCTTCCAGTGCTGCCAACCTGAAGAGTACAAAAGTTCAGACCTTTTTTTTTCCCCCTCTCCCCACCAGTCCAACTTCTCTTCTTTAACATTTCCAATTTCCTTTCACCTGACTTACCTCTCTCTCACAAAGCCCCCAGGGCCATGCTAATCAGTCTTAATCCAGTGCAGAGTGAAAACAGGGAATGGTAACCTACAGCCAGTCAGAAATTCTCCCACCGACTTTTTTCCTCCTCCAGGGCAGCACTTCAACACCCGGTATTTCAGAAGGTATACATTTGTCACTGTAATTGCAATGTACATTGAAGTAGCTGTGCAGAGTGTCATGCCGGATTCCACACATGCTTCATAGGCTGGTACCGTGAGTGTTACAGCTCCAAATAAAAATGGATATTTTGCTTCATAAGGAGTATTTTATTACTCTCCCTTTTAAAAAGATGTTGCTGTGAGATCAAAATAGGCTTACAAATCTGTTGCTCTACCTTTTCGGGATCAGCTGTGTGGGGGAGATGCTAGGTAAGAGAGGGAGAGTGTCTTGAACCAGATGAATTCCCACCAGACCACACAGATCAGCTGTGCTGGGGCCTCTTGTACGATGGTAGTAGTCTGCCTCTGTGCCATGGGTGGGGATTTGTTCCCTGTCTCCTGTTCAGTCTTCAAAGAAATCCCAGCATTTGGGTTTAGTGCTGGGTCCTGGCCTCAGCCCTGAGGATATCTCCTGATAGGGATGCTTCCCAGACCTGGGTCATTGGGACTGATTTCAGTCTCAGGCACTGCAGTATAAATGAAAAGTAACTCTCCTTAAGTAACTCATTATCATGCACGTCTATTATGGTTGCACCTTGGAGCCCCAACTGCGAATAGGACCCCATAGCGATTTACAATGTACATATAGGGTCCTCCAATTGTTTGGATGACCTCAGGCAGAGCACTGTTGATTCCAGTAACCAGCAACTCTAACAAATGGTGGCACAGTAAAATCAGCAAAGTAAAAAGCCTGTGCATAGTCTCTTCAAAAATACTCTGTACAGTTGTCATACTTAGTTATATTTTACTCACTTATTGCAATAAACTCAACAGCCTAGATGAAGAGTAAAGACGCATGCAGGCGGGCATTGTGAACTGAAGTAGACTTGATTTGAATAGCTGGTGGAGAAAACATTGCGTGCATAGATTATGGTTGGAGATACTGATTCTAATAAGTGGTTGATTCTATAAAGCAAGATGCAAATAAACAGCAGAAATTGCATTTAAAATGCTTTTTGGCATTTGGTTTGAGGGATTTGATTTCAATATGCAGCCAGTTCTATTAACTGAGCATCTAATAAGTAATGGACAGCACAGCACAATAAAAGATGGTCCCTGCCCTGGATAAAATGAGGAGACATTATCCCTGTTTACAGATGGGGAATTGATGCACAGAGAGATTAAACCGGTGACCAAAAGTCAACAGCAATATATATATGTATTGCTATTGTAAGATACTCCATCCCCATTCAGGTCATGTCATACAGGCCTATGACATAAGATATATTGATAAAGATATATATCAGTATATCGATATAGATATACTGATATATATCAGTTGACATGACTGATATATTGATATAATCATATGATATGAGCTATATATATATATGTATGTATATACATATATATAGCTCAGGTCATATGATTATATTGATATATAATCAGTTATGTTAACATATATATACATATATACACACACACATAAATATACATATATATATACACACATATACACACACATATATTATATTATATTATATTATATTATATTATATTATATTATATTTGCTTGCACACTGAAATATGTATATTATATGATAATATATGACACATTTATATAGCTCGTGTCATAGGCCTCTATGACATGACCTGAACTGGGATGGAGTATGTAACAATAGCAACCTTAATGCTTGGGTCTGCAAGATTACGCTTATTGAAGGAGGAAAATATTAAGCCTTCCACAAATGTTGTAGCCATGATGGTCCAGGAAATAGGTGAGGGACAAAGATTTTTGTGGGTGGTATCTTTTATTAGACCATCTGTACAATTGGGATAAACTTAGATGAGCTTTCAAATGCAGTGCATTCTTCTTCAGGTCTGAGGAAAAAGGAAGCACGGCTAGGGCTAACACCAGTCTGCAGGGCTGTTAGCAATTCCCAAGAATTGCTAACAGACAAGAAACGATAGTTTGATTAGTGGAAGGGGATTAAAAAGGAGAGCGGACTGACCACCTGTACAGTGAACACTGTGAGAGATGAGCAGGAGTCAGGAAATATTTCCATTATTGAAGTAAAGGTTCTTATACATGCTTCTGAATTTTTCTTGCCAGTAGGCAGCATCAAGTATCAGCCCACTGAATTCAGTAAACAGCTGCGACTCTTTGAAGTCACTACAAAAATCTGCACATCAAGTGCAGCATTGAGAAATTACCATTCCAATTAAAATGTCTTAGGAAAAAACAATAAGACCGTCACAAAGAATAACGACTGATGTCAAGTGAGGCTCGGAGTCTGATGCAGGCAACCTTTCTTGTTTAAGTGAGTCCTCTTGGAAAAAAAAAAATCTATCAGCTAAGATGCACAAAGATCCCGTGTTTCAGTGATACGGAGGACAAAGCCTGATGTATATAGAAAATCTTGGAGTTTCTTTTTTCCCTTGTCTGATGGAATTTTGATTTCTTTTATTAGTGCAGGGTGCAGGTCCCCAGATCCTTACGAGAAGGCATGAGTCATGCAATGCTTTGTACATCTGTAAAGGCGCATTGACATCAGCATAGGAGGAAGCTAAAGTTCCTGCTTTCTGGTGTGAGTCCAGACAGAAGGACGCCAAGGGAAAAAAGATCAACTATTTTGTAAATGTACTGAAGACAAATTTAGATTTATGTCAACGTTTCTTCTTCGAATGTGTGAAATATGAAGCTGTTGTTTAACATGTACAAATGGGAAAAATACTTAAAATACAGTAGCTACCATCTGCCTATTGATTTCAGATAATTTAGATGATGTACTTTTTATCCAAAATCTCTGGTAATAAAGAGCTCAGTGTGGTATGATTTTAATATTGCTTGGAATATGCTACATCTCATATGTGGATACACTTTAAAATGCAGAGAAACATGACAGTGTCCAACTTTGTGACCACAAATTATACATGTGATATAGGGAATGGCAAATACCATCTTCCAGGGGGAGAGGGGTATGTAAAACTGGTTAGAGTAAAAACAATTTATGATGACTGATGCTTGGTGTTATCAAAAGTATTGATCAGTCATTAGCAGACTGAACAGATATATTCAATGTATTGCTTGGTATATTTTCCCATTATAAAATGATTAGCAGTATTCCTAACTATCATTATGTGACAGACATTGCATTTCATATGGTAACTTTCTCAGAGCAAAACAGTAATTTTCCAGTGCACTGTAATGTCAAAATCTAATTATAATTGGCATATAAATTATGGAGGGTACAAACATGGTTTATCTTGGAAACACATTCATCTTACTTAAAGGTGATGGTCTTTTTTGTTTCTTTTTACCGATAAGATGAATATGGTGTCGTAATATAAGCTTGTCTTCTATCAATACCTCAGTCATGTTGCCATAAGCAGGTTTTATAGCTCACCTGACAAAGAAATGGGTCATGCTTCTTTAGTTGATATTCTCCGTTCCTTTGTCAGATATATCCAAGAGCAAAACAGAAAGGCCCTCTGTAATAATTTTCATGTAAACAAAATAAAAAAGCATACACCAAAAATTTGGGGTTAAAAGCTTTAGCACAAAATACCATGTGCATAAAGGAAAGTGAGTTTAAAAGGTTTCAGTCTTGTGGGCAGATATCCATGTAGTCGATCAGCACCTGTTGCAGAACTGCTTCTGATCTTCTGCATGTATAGATTCTCCTACAGAGATCTTAATATCTGAAAGAGGCATCAGTATACA